AGGCTGGCCTCCTTTCTACAGGGACTTTGCTTGTCTCCCTTCCTGGTAGGCACCAGCCACTCAGACTGCCTTCAGCTCCTCTCTGACCCTGTTCTTGTTACACAGATCAGGGACTCGCCAGTCAGGTGTGGATCCTTTTGCCTGGCATGCTCTTCCCTTCCTGCTCCCAGCACCTTCCTTTTATTAGTTAATGTTCATTAATCCTTAAGTCCCTGTTTGGCATCTTTCTCTAACCCCTAAACTAGATCAGTTTCCTTTGTGGTATTGTGATCATAACAGGTTGATTGCCTGATGCGCACGTCAAGTCAATCCGTGAGACACTGGGTTGCAACAGAGACACAGATTTAATCCTAGAGTTGCCGACGAGGAGATGGGAGGAAACCTCCAATCCGTCTACCTAAGGTGATTGGGGCTATGGATTTTAAGGGTTTGGAGTGGACTGAAGTGTGTGGAGATAGTTGACTGGTCGAAGAGTGCAGGGTGAAGTCATGGGACAGGAGGATAAAGATGTTGCATTCTCATACTGATCCTGTTCCTCTACGGGAGTTGGCATCAGCTGTTTCGCTAGAATTTGGATTCTGTAAAAGTTCTTAAGTGATCCCTAAACAAAAACTTCATGATTGTAATGTCAGCTATCCTGTCTATAGGAACAAAGGGGATGCACAGGCAGTTTCTAGTGTTGAGTGACTTTCAGCAACAAGGAAGTAGGCCAGAGGGCAGCCTTACTGATGCTTAATTATAACTATATTTCTGTCCAGTGCCCGGCATTCAATTTCTATCAACCCTGTGGGGATGGTTTCAGTATGCTCCCCATGCTCCCTTCATAAGACGTGTCCTAGTTCCCAGTTATAAACCTATTTGATTAGCTGATTAACATCTGACCCTTCTAGATTGTAAGCTTACATAGGGCAGGGGCTATAACTGTTCTGCTCAACATTTTAGTCTCCAATACCTACCCTAGTGTTGGTCATGCAGTAAATGCTCCATAATTCTTTTATGAATGAATGCATGTATGAACGAAACACTGGCCTAGTGGCCTATGTTACTTTCCATAGTACCACGAATGGAAGTCCTCCATAAATATCTTTCTGATTTATCTCATCTTGTTGTCTAGGACATTTTAATAAAGAACTCCATATAATTTCTAAGAGTAGATGGCTACATTCTGAAATAATGTGACTGGCCATTATAGGTAGAGTCAGAGGTGATTCTTAATTCCCTGTATCTGATTTGATAAGGGTGGTGGTGGTAATAGGCAGTATCATTCAAATATGATTTAGAAGTATCCTGTGCTTGCTGATGGCTGTCTTGCTTTTTGCATCTCAAACCTACCTAAAATACTTCTGATTTGGTTATGGTGCTTAGGGGAAGAGCATGCTCAGTGGGGCTAGCAGTAAGTTGGAAACTCAGGGGCTGTGACTTTTCATTGCAGGAAACTCATGTGACTTTAGCTTGTTTGGTAGCAAAGCAGGGCTCCTGGGTTTGCTTTATTTGCAGTTGGTGTAGATGAGTGAGATTTAACATCTGGTCCTTTATGGAAAATTCCTTTAGTTCCAGAGCTGGAAGAAAAAAACCATCATTCTATTATTAAAGGACCCAGAATTAGTTCTTGTTCTCTGTGTTCCATATGCTCGTCATTGATAAATGATCATTCTGTCTTTGCAGTCTCAAGCAATCAGAAGGGGAGATAAAATATCTGCTCCCCAGTTACCAGCAGCAGCCCTGTGTATTGGAGAGTGTGTTCAGGGAGCGGTGCTGGAGTCCTGTCTTGCCCTGATAGGGACTTCTGTAATTTGCATATTTTTTTTTTTTTTTTTTTTTTTTGAGACGGAGTTTCGCTCTTGTTGCCCAGGCTGGAGTGCAATGGCAGCGATCTCGGCTCACCGCAACCTCTGCCTCCTGGGTTCAAGCAATTCTCCTGCCTCAGCCTCCTGTGTAGCTGGGATTACAGGCACGCACCACCATGCCCAGCTACTTTTTTGTATTTTTAGTAGAGACGGGGTTTCACCATGTTGACCAGGATGGTCTCGATCTCTTGACGTTGTGATCCACCCGCCTCGGCCTCCCAAAGTGCTGGGATTACAGGCTTGAGCCACCGCGCCCGGCCTAATTTGCATATTTAGTGAGTCTGTGGGGAGAGATGAGAGAGATGGCAGTTCCATACAACCTCTGCTGCCCTGCCTGTGCATTCTAGAAAAAAAAATAACTAACCAGATTCTGTCTCAAAATGGAGCACTGACCTTTTCCAAAACCCGCCTCAGTAGAATATAACAGGGCTAATGTAATAGAGGGAAATGACACTTAGGCTCTGGAGGGAAAATTGATGTAAGTTTTTATCAGGAGGGTCATCAAATGAGATGTTGGTTAACCAGCTTCACTCAGGGAAATGAGTGCAATATTGTAAGAAAGTCAGAGCAGTAAGATGTAAGGAAGTTAGAGTTCGTAGAGAACGTGTGCAGCGGAGCTATCTACACACTGGAGTACCTCTGAACTGTTAAACGAGAGAGCAATGAATGTCTCTGTGTGAGCTGTCCTATTTTTGAGTTTCTCTGTTAAACAGCTTAGTCTATTTCCTGACTAACACATAATTGTGGACACTTAAAATGCTTCCTATGTGTTAGGGACCACACTGAGTGCTGAATATGCTTTATGTCAGTTAATTCTCCATCAACCATCCTAAATTAATCTCACTTGCCCATTTTACGGATGTGCAAACAAGCTTACATAGGGGAAGTATCTTGCCCAAGATTGGCTGAATGCAAGTGGCAGAAAGGACCTGAAAGCTCCGAAGTGATTCAAAACCCATATTCTTCATAGCTGTGCCCTCGTGACTCTTCATGTAGACAAATTTGTATTCTTCTTGGCCGCTTCAAAGTTTCAGTCTATTGCAAGTGATGCTTCCAGACTCCCCTGCTCAGTGTGGTGTAGACTGATCATTTTATCCTGTTTATAAAAATACTGTTTTTTGAATAGGTTTATCTTGTTCTGAATAGGTTTATCTTGCTTCGTTCACGAAATTGTAAATCCCTCAAGGGATGGATAAAAATGCTCAATGAATGATGATTATATGTCTAAATAGATAAGAACTGTCTGATATTCCAGAATTACTCAGTATTATATTTTGCCATATTTCCTCATAGGTGTGTAGATTCTGTTGTTACTTAATCAAACCCAGTGAATGTGTTCCCTCCAATTTTAAATATATCTTCATGGTAGTGAGCATATTTGTGTGGAGAAAATATCCAAAAAGATGATTTTGAATAAGAAACCATGCCCATTTTGTTTACCACTATAAATATAAATAGGTGGGATTTATGGTTTTCCAGATTGCACTTTAACCAAATGTTAGATTCATGATCATTCTACCATGAATGAGTAAGTATTATGTCTGTTGCACAATTTAAAAAAATGCAAAATAGCAGTTGCCTTAAACAAGGTATATATTTTTTTCTAACATAAAAAGAGTCCTGGAGGTGAGCATCTGGGAACTGATATGGTGGCTTCTTGGTCATTGGATCCCAAGCTCTTTCTTTTTCTTCTGAAATCCCTGAAAGTGGTTTCTATTCTAATGGTTCTAATGGCTCTGGCCCTTGTAATAACTATCAGGCCAGAGTTGCAGGCAATAGGATGGGGAGAGGGCAAAAGGCCTTTATCTGACTTTACCCTTCTAAGTCCCTTTTCCAGAATTTTTACTAAATGAACTTCCACTTCCACACAGAACTTAGCTATACCTAGTTACATAAGTACTCAAATAAATTTAAGACTTTGTTTTTAACTAAGAAAGAAAGTAAAGAATCAGTATTGCCTTGCCTTCTAATTAGAAAATTCCCACTATTCCAGATTGGGGGTTGACAAACTGGCCCACGGGCCAAATCTGGCCTGTGGCCTGTTTTTTTTGTGAATAAAGTTTTAGTGGAAGAAAGCCATATGCACTCATTTGTTGCTGATTTCATGCTACAACAGCAGAGTTGAGTAGTTGTTCCAGAATATGATCCATGAGCTTAGACTCTCTTCTAGCTGGCTCTTTAAAAAAAAAGTTTCAACCCCTGCTCTAGATCGCAAGAAGCAGGTTCTGATAAAAACGTTTGCCAAGCCCTGCTCTAGATCACAGGGGGCAGATTCTAATTGCTTCACTAGTTGTGATGCTATTATAGAAGTACAGTTGACCTCAGTGTGGATTCAGTGATCATCTATTCTCCAGCCCCAGTGAGGTTATATATACTAGACATGTATTTGGCTGCAAGTAACATAAAACTTGAATAATTTTGGATTAAACAGAAGGGATTTAATTACATGAAATCTCAGAAGTACACGACCCAGGGCTGGTGCAGATGCTCAGTGTTGCCTTCAAAACTGGGCTGCTTCTTTCTCCCCAGCCATGCCTAGAATGTTGACTTTTGTCTTCATGCTTACTGGAAGATGAATGCAGTACCTGAAGGTGTTATGTCTACATTTCCTGAAGGAAGTCGGGAAGGTGCAAAAGGGCAAGGGTCTGTTCTTTTCTAGAAACTTTCCCAGAGGCCCTCGTTGGCCAAAGCTGTCTCTCTAGAAGCTGAGGATCCTAGGATTCAAACAACTGTGGATGGAAAATATTGGGGAAAAAACCCAATAAAAGAAATAACAGTACAGCAATAAAAAATAATACAATCTTAAAAATACAGTACAACAACTATTTACATTACATTTACATTATATTAGGTATTAAAAGTAACTACAGATGACTGAAATGACTTATGGGAGGATGTATGTAGATTATATGCAAACATAAGATTATATGCAAGCTAGGTCATTTTATATCAAGGACTTTCATATCCACAGGGTGTCCTGAAACCAACCCTCCAGTTGTATGTGCTCTAGTGGGCTTCTCATAGTGAACCAGCCCACTCCAGTGTGTTCTTACAGTCTCACTCTTCCCTCCTATCTTTTCCCCCTACCCTTCCCTCTCACATTCCTGAAATTAATTTCTCTCCTTTTCCCCTCCTTCTCATGTTTTTGGCTAGGTGAGAAACCTGGAAATGAGCCTGAAGAGGTGAGGCTGCAGAATGCCAGCAAACAGATTGTGCAGAATGCAATCCTGCAAGCCGTGCGGCAAGTCTCCCAGGAGAGTCAGCACAGGGAAGAGCGAATCAGCGACAGCCGGGGCCACATCCAGCTGGGTGTTGGGGAGTTAACCAAGAAGCACGAAAAGAAGTAACATGGTGCATTTAGCTCTTGACGTGTGCTCAGTTTCTAGCCTTCCTCTTAGTATAGGACGCATCACCAAAATGTTGCCAATTAAGTAAACCGAAGTGTCATTGGCACCTAGATGTAGAATGAATCTGCACTAGCCCCCGGCTGAAAAGCACTGTTTTGAAAAAGTGCATTAGATGATTCTGTTCCTATTTATGCAGTGCCTCTGAAACATAGTGGGGCCAAATATGACACTGTAATTGCAAAAATAGTTTCGCAGGCCAATGGATTTTTAAAGTTCTTGTATTTGAAAAAAAGAATTCTAGATCTCATTTATTCACTTCTGCCTTTTATGTGTTCCTTCTGTGAATTTAACAAGCTGTCTTTTTGCTTAAATACTGAGTACATTACCGAGTTCTTTATATTAAAAAGGCATTCTGGAAAGGTGAGGGAATGGAGTTTTAGTTACTTTTGAATGTGAAATTGAAGGCTTTTATAAAGTGGATTCAGGTCTAAGATCAAGTCAAGCAAAGGCAAATTCTAAGACTGAGTCCCTTGGGATCATACCAAGGCCTATGTTAATATTTATGTTATTTTAAGAAAGGGAGGAATTTAGGCTTTTCAATAGCTCAGTCTTTTAGTCTCAATTCTCTGAATAGTTTAATAATTGGTGTTTCGGCTCTGTGTAGAAATCTTTTGGGAATATGGATTTCTTTTCTCATCTTAAGATTCGATAAAATAAGACAAGTGAGTCTACATGTGTGAGTTGTCAATAACTCAATTCCTTAGAAACTTCATGGAGAATGCCTAGAATTGTGTATTTCTTCAACAGCTGCCTATCTTTGAGAGACTTATACTTGGGGCTGACTATGGGGTGCAGCATCCTTGGAAGGGATTCTGAGGCCTTACAAATGCTGTTTTGCCACCTGACTATGTGTTTGCATTAGGACCATACTAACTTTTACCATCCACAAATTAAAATTATTTTTTTGAGATTATGAAAATCATTCAGATCAGGAATACATGAGAATACAGTGGGCACAGTAAGGCAACAGTGTTGTGAATGCAGTGACAGAGATCTGTGTGTACATTTGTAATAAAGGCATCTGTGCAGCAACAGGATCAATCCCTGCTCCACTTCTTGAGGATAATGTTTATATTTCTGGAGTATCTAGAGTCCCGTTTCCTGGGCTTCACAAAAGTTATTGAATTGGTACTCTTGGGGACAGAGAAAGAATTTGACCGTGGTTAAAAACCTTCTGGTTTCAGAGTATCAATATCTACATTTGATTTCTTTTGAAAGCAAAGTATTAGGGCATAAAGTGTGACTGATATTAAAATATAATTCTAAAATTCCAATACACTACAGTTTCAAGAATAAATATTTGGATAATCGATAATGAATAAAAAAATGTCTTCTCGGCTTTGTTATGCTATCTCCCAAAGTGCACAGGTGGAATAAATTCACAGGGAACATGGATGGAGAAGGAAGTAGAAGAGCTTACAATTTAAAGATTGTTTACTCATAAGTATTTCTTTTAGCAGAATTCGTGCCAAGTGAAGAATGAGTTTAAGTTGACCAAAAGTCATGTAACTGATGTGATATAATTACACAGCATAGTGAGAATGAAGGTATTCAGGGAAATTATTCAGGAGTGCCACACAAAAAAAATACCCACAATAAATCTAATGCGTGTAGTTTGCAAGTGATCTAGTACTATGTCTACTCAGATGTCTGGATATAACCGGCCTTTGTTTTTGCTGTCGTGGTGACAGAAAAATGCAAACATGCTATTTTTCCTCTCTGGTGTGTCTGTGCTAACAAATTGGAAATTTTTGGAACATCTTAGTGACCTCTGTATCTAAATGTTATTTATAAATAAAACATATACAGCTTTGAAATATTTTAAGCAAAGTTTTCTAGACTCTGCTGTTTGGCTCATTTTGTACATGAATCTTACCATTATTTGGCACCATGAGATTTCCAAGGCTGTTTTCAAACCCCTAGATACCATGACCAGGGGAAGTGTTTCTTTAATGGGCCCTTCTCTGTTACTGTGTGAGGACAGCCATGGGATGGTGGGTCCTGAGGCTTGAAGGGAAAAGGAAGTGTACTAAGAAGTGCCCTTTTGATCTCGAGAATTAAAGGTAAGTGGCTGCCATGTTCTTTGAGATGGAAAATCAACAGCAAGGAGAAAATATATGGCTGAGTTGTTGGGAGGACACAAGAAAGTTCAGCAACCCCCATTCTCAATAGGTAGGTGCCATGTTGGCAAAATTCTAGGAAAGCTCAGTCATAAAAATAAATGATTTAAAGATCTATAAACTCTTACAGATCTTTGAGTATGAAGAAGAAGTTACTAGATTTTACAAGGGGGCTATAGAACTTCGTTTGATACAGGATTAAGGTGGATTTCCACTTGCTTATTGTCATAAACCAGATCACAGCTTTTAGTTTCCGAAATGAGTGGGAACGTTTACTTAGTGAATTTTATTTTTCTGATTTACAACATACACAGGATTCCCATCTCTGTGTGTTTAGCTGTTGTCTTTTGCGTTGCCTGCCCCTAGGGTGGAACTAAAGAAAGAAATCCTTTCATGTTACTTTGCTTTGCTGTAATCATCTGTTCAGTGCAAACATTGTTGTAAACTGATGCAAAATGATTAACTGGTTTCCTTCATTTCTTTTCTTATTTCTTTTTTAGGTAGTTAGGTTTCCTAGCTAAAAAATGGTGGAATTTCAGGTTACAAAGAAATGAATCTATAATTTAAAAGTAATCATTGAATTTATGCCATTCAGAGATGAGTTATTGGCCATTTTCAAAACTGTCTTAAGGTTTCTATGATAAAACAGCGCAAAGAGAGGGACCTTTAATTTATCCACTGTAATAGCTTAGTCTAGTAAAATACAACAAAAAAATAAAATCTGTGAAAAATATGAAACTAATTTAGCCTCTATAATACCAAAACAGATGTAGAGACAGGAAAGTGGAAATTATAATATCTTTCTTGAGTATGTGAAAGTTTGCGAAAGATATTAGCACACGTTCCCTCATTTATCTCATTGCCAAAGCCTCAAAATAAGGTATAGCCTGAAAAGATCTTGATATCTTTGGGTCTGTCCCACCCAAAATCTCACCTTGAATTTAATCCCCATAATGCCCACGTGACAAGGTGGGACTAGATGAAGGTAATCAGGTCATGGGGACAGTTTCACCTATACTGTTCTCATGAACGTGAGTGAGTCTCTTGAGATCTGATGGTTTTATAAATGTCTGGCATTTCCCTTGCTTGTACTCATGCCATCTTGCTGCCCTGTGAAGAAGGTGACTACTTCTTTGCTTTCCATCATGACTGTAGGTTTCCTGAGGCATCCCCAGCAATTTGGAACCGTGAGTCAATTAAACCTCTTTCCTTTATAAATTACCCAGTCTCGGGTCTATTGGAGAGAAATAGGGGAGGGACAGCAGGGGGTGGGGAGTTGGTGGGGGGATGGCATGGGGAGAAATGCCAGATATAGGTGAGGGGGAGGAAGGCAGCAAATCACACTGCCACGTATGTACCTATGCAACAATCTTGCATGTTCTTCACATGTACCCCGAAACCTAAAATGCAATAAACAAAATAAATAAATAAATTACTCAGTCTCTTGCAGTTCTTTATAGCAGTGTGAGAATGGACTAATACAAACCTTATTCTCCTTTACAGATAAAGTCACACTGAGACTAAGGGAGGATAAATATAACCTAGATGGAGAAAGTGAGCACTATTGTTCACAAAAATACATGAAATCAGTCATCTTAAACTCTGTGAGCATCTGAACACAAAATTTAAGAATATAAATTCTAGGGATTTTAAGATATACATTCTAGAGATGTTAAAATGTAAGAATGCAACAGCTTTAGAGAAAACATTTCTGAGTAAGAAATTTAACAAAAATAGTAAAGAGTCAGTTAAAATATTTAATAGAAAAAACTCAATGCCATTCAACTAAAACTAAGGAAAGAAAGAAATTTCAGAGGGAATGAAGTAGAAGACCACAGCAGGGTCTGAGAAGTCTATCAATCTTTCCTTCGTTCCTCAGAAACCATATTAGTAAGTGCACAAAACCTTGAGCTATGTGTGAGAAAAATAAAGTGAGTGACTTTGTACTTTGTCTTCTGGCTACAGGGTAGTGGAAATGACTGTTGGGAAGAAACAGGTGAGACAAGAGATGAGATTCCTCTCAGATGAAAGTGGCAACTTTGGCCGGGCGTGGTGGCTCATACTTGTTATCCCAGCACTTTGGGAGGCTGAGGCGGGCAAATCACCTGAGGTTGGAAGTTGGAGACCAGCCTGACCAACATGGAGAAACCCTATCTCTACTAAAAATGTAAAATTAGCCAGGCTTGGTGGTGCATGCCTGTAAATCCCAGCTACTCAGGAGGCTGAGGCAGAAAAACCTCTTGAACCAGGGAGGCAGAGGTTGCAGTGAGCCGAGATAGCACCATTGCACTCCAGCCTGGGCAACAAGACTGAAACCCCATCTCAAAGATAAAAAATAAAAAATAAATAAAAATAAAGTGGCAACTTTGCCTTACAGAAATTAAGAAAATGGAAGAAAATAAAGGAAGGAAGGAAGGCAAGAGGGAAGGAAGGAAAGAAAGAAGGTAAATACCCACATCATATTCTAGGAAAATAGATACAAAATGCTCGACAGCAATACTTCCACAATAAAAGAAAACTAATTAAGTTCTGGGCTGAGAGCAAGTCTTTTACAAAGGCAAATTTTCATGGTGGCATCAGATTACTTCATAGAAACATTCAATACTGTAACATAAGGGAGAAAAAGCTATATAGGAGCACTGAAGAAAGGAAAGTATGATGGAAGGTTATTATTCCCAGCCAAGATGTCACCTAAGAATAAAGACAAACATTAAAAAAACCAAAAAGCAGAAAAAACTTAAGTGTTACTAGTACTCAAGATCTCTCTGTGAAAAATCTGCCTTACCATAAATTTCAGCCAACTAAAAAATAAATATAAATAAAAACTTTAGGAATGGAGAGGCTGCAACAAAAGGACGAGTGAAGAGCAGTGTCTTCACCTAAATATTAAAGTAAATAATGCATAATTGTGAAAATTACGGCCAAAAAGAAGTATGTAAATTGTTATATCGTGAGAGCATAAAATATAACTAACAAAAATCAGGAGGTAGGCAAAGAAAATGACATCATGCTAATGACCTTATCTGTCAGAGAGAAAAGATGATTTATTTCATCTCAAGTTGAATGATTTAGTTAATAAACTCCAAAAATGCCCATCCCTTATTAGATTTTATAATTCCTCTTCTTAAACTTTGGGGAATGTTTTAGAAACTAATATAACATAGAGTTGTTTAAAGTTTAGCAATTTCTTTAGTTTCCACTTGGTATTTTTTTCTTTCACTAAATTTAAAAGAAATAAAGTATTATATCAGTATCTTTTTTTTTTTTTTTTTTTTGACAGTGTTGCCCAGGCTGGAGTGCAGTGTCTTAATCTCAGCTTACTGCAACCTCCACCTCCAGGGTTTGGGTTTAAGCAATTCTCCTGAATCAGCTTTCTTAGTAGTTGGGACTATAGGCATGCACCACCACAACCAGCTAATTTTTTTTTTTTTTTTTTTTTTTTTTTTTTTTTTTTTTTTTTGTAGTGACAGGATTTACCATGTTGGCTAGGCTGGTTCTGATCTCCTTACCTCAAATGATTCCTCCCATATTGGCCTCCCAAAGGGCTTGGATTATAGGCATGAGCTACCGTGCCTGGCCTTTTATCTGTATATTTTTACTGTGTCCTTTTCCACTGAAATACTCCCGTGACATCATATGTGTCCCACTGTTAGCACGTTCTTCTGCTGAAGCTGACCATGAGGACTCCTGCTGCATGTGAAGGCCTCGGATGACTTTCTTAACTCAAAAAATTAATTCCTTTGATCATTTGACTTAAGCCACAGGTTGTACATAGTCTAAGTCATAAGAGAATAAAAGAATAGCCTTATTCCTATAGTGTTTTTCAATTTTTAAAGCAAGTTACTATTCTTTCCTTAGCTGATTTCTACTTAATCAATTAACCAGTGCTTTCACAACATGCCTAACACTTGTGTCTAAGAATTGATGCTCTTGCATGAATGCTCCACTAATTGAGTTAAATGTACAGCCAGTGTTGTTGCCGTCCTTCCATATGCCTTCAGCACATGTCATTTCCCTGTTCACAGATGGCTTCTGGCTGCAAATAGCTGTCACTTTTTGCCTGTGGGCCTTTTCTAGGTATATCTGTGGCTCAGCCTACACAAGGGGTTGACCAGAAGTACCAGGGAGCTAAGGCTCCAGGAAAGCCTTCCAACAATAATGGATGGGAGATGGTGCACAAATACTCTGCCCTTCTCACCCTCCGGAGGGCCAACTCTGAGCTGTGTCCCATGGTCTCCCACTTGTTGCCACCTGATGAAGTCCCAGGTGTGCAGCCCCTTTCTCATTTCTCTACCTTCCCATTGGTGGTTCCTAGGATGAACTGCTAAATGAGCTACTTTCACTCAAATTTTTGACTCAGGATCTACTTCCAAGGGGATGAAAATTAAGACCATGGCATTATAGTGCTTCCTATCAAAGAAAACTGGGTTACTAATTATTTGTCTCTTGTTGCAGAAAACTTGGACCTGGCTTTCTGAAGAGACAATCTGCCTCAACCAGGTATTGAGCAGTAGCTGGTGTCCTTCAAAACAAAAGAAATCATATGTGTTCTGTATTTTAATTTTATTATGGCTATCTTGGCTGGCTTGCGATTGATTTAATCTCAGTTCTGTTTTCCAAACTGGCTAATTTATAATCACTGAATCCACAGAAATATCACATGAATAGGTACTGGAGGCTGATGTACTGAGGAAAAGTGATACAGAGACTATTGCCAGGCCATACAACTTATAAACCTAAGGAACTGACATTTAAAACATAGGAGACAAATATCAAATTCAGTAATTTTATCAGCACCTTCCCTCCTGAAACTAGATAGTTTTGGCAAGTTTTGGCAAAAAGTCATCCCTTTAAATTTATACACTGTTTTGCTTATGTGTTACAGTTAAGGGTTCACCTTTAAAATCAGGAGAAATAAATATATGTAGATCTAAAATTTGTTTCTAGTTTTACAAGATTCAAAGTTTATGGTAATACTTGAGAGTTCCAAAAAAAAGGCAGTATTGTTGAAGTCAAGGGCTCACTACTTTGAGTCAAGTGATCTGGGTTCTGACTCCAGGTATAATTGCTGAAAATACTCTGTGACAGTCCTTCAAAAAATTTATCACAACAGGCAATTTTATCTCTATTTTTATATTATTTAAATTATCTTTCCATAGCTAAGGAGTAGGCTTCATGAAAGCAGGTATAGGTCTTTCTTGATTAACCTGTATCCTAAGAAAAGGGCAAGCACTTGTTGACTAAATGGTTGTTACCTGCATGACAGTAACAAGTAACAAGCTTCTTAATTTTTCTGAGCCTTTGTTTCCTCATCTGTGAAACAGAAGTTGGCTAAGGTGGTCACTAAGTTTCTTTGTAGTTATAAAATTAAACTATTCTGGGGCAGGGGGTTGGTATTTTTACTGAGGCTTTACTTCAGTGCACAGCATAATGAATTTTTATATATGAAT